GGGTTTAAGGTTGAGGGTTTTGGGGTTTAGGGTTTAGGGTTTTCATAGTGGTTTGGGGGTTTAGGGTTTAGGGGTTTACAGTTTAGGGTTAAGGGTTTAGGTAGCATGAGTGAGACCCCTTAAAGGGGAACCTTCTTAACCCTCCTTATGGCTCTCTTAGACGGGACCTTATTGAGAGGGTCCCCAGAGCTTCCAATATCCCTTGATGAAGGAATATATACTTAAGTTCCAATAGGACCCCGAATATGGTTTAAGGTATCTTCCATGATTAAGAAACGCTAAACACTAAAACGCTAAACCCCAACCCCGAAACCCTAAACCCTAAACCCAGTCATTTTGCAAGGTCTGGGTAGACGCCTTAAACCTATCCCCCTTCACCTTGCCTCTGCTCCTACCAACCCCAAAAGATCAGAGCTGAGACTTAGCTGATACAGCACTTAGGGTTTGGGGTTTAGGGTTTAGGGTTCAGGGTTTAGGGTTCAGGGTTTAGGGTTTAGGGTTTAGGGTCTAGGGTCTAGGGTTCAGGGTTTAGGGTTTAGAATTCAGGGTGGCTCCGCACGGGTCAGGATTTTATAGACCTGGCCGGTATCCGAATCCGTGCAAGACTCTGTCCTTAGAGTGCCGAAGCTCGCCGCCAGCTCCCTAACACCCGAACCGTGGTACTTCTGCTCTTGCGGCTGGTTGTTTGTTGTTTTCTGGTTGTGGCTCAGGGCAGTCTGGTTTCCACAGTTCCAGCCTAAGTGTGTCTCATAGATTTAGGGATTAGGGTTCAGGGTTTAGGGTTTTGGGTTCAGGTGCGGTCTAGCGTTAGGGCTTGCCTCATGCCCTGGCACAGATCGTGTCCATGCCGACCAAGCCTCCGGTCAGTGATCTCGTTGCAAAAATATACCGTAGGGCCAGGGGCCATGGGTTGATCGTAGATGGGTTAATATAGGGGCCTTAGGGCCTTAATGATTAGAATGGGGTTTTGGGGTATATTATACTATAAGAATAACCATAATAAGGAACCCCCAAAATTAGTATTGGTAACTCTTTAGGCCCCTAGATCAGTGGTGCAGGGATTCTCCTACGAAGCTCTAAACCCTAAGCTATCAGCCCGAGACTTGCGGTACAGGCTCAGATTACCCTTCAGGGTCCCTTTTAGCGTTCCTGTAAAGGGATCTATAAGGGTTCTATAGAGTTTAATACTCATATAGTATATACCTTGGCCCCAAAGTACCTATAATTATAGGGATTACTTTAAGGCCAAAGTATATACCAGTTGAGGACTTGGACCCTCTGGGTTACATGTGTAGAAGCCTGCAAAGTAGTCACTACTATATCGTAGTGCTGCCTTATTATGCTTATACTTAGATAGCTTAATTTAAAACCGAAGACCGTTTCGAATCATTATCTCCCGTATATTCCAGTCCCACGCCCTATCCCCAGAAGTCGTCATGGAGGTCTAGTGAAGTGCATCGGACATGCAGGAATTTAGGAATTGTTGTGTGTTAGTGTTTGCTGTTCGGCGTGGAGGTTCAGGCTTGTTTAGCTTTTTGCAGTAAGGGTTTGTTGCCGGCTTGGTGAGCAGCAGCCCTGCACTAGCCCTAAACCCTAAACCCTAAACCCTAAACCCCAGGTATGCGGCTAGTCAACCTGAGCAATGCGGTTGTGTACTACTGGCTGCAGCTTGGAAGCGTTTTAGGGTTTAGGGTTTAGGGTTTAGGGTTTTCGGAGACAAAAGTTGTCGGGGATCGAGCTTGGGGGTAATCGGTTTAGGGTTTAGGGTTTAGGGCTTAGGGGTAATGCTTCCTACCCTTGAGTGTAGTCATGTTAATTTCTGTTCTTTGTGTTCTGTTCTGTTCTGTTCTGTTCTGTTCTGTTCTGTTCTGTTCTGTTCTGTTCTGTTCTGTTCCAATATAATTATTATTCCCCAAACCCTAAACCCCAAACTATATTATACCCAAAAGCCTAGTCCAGTTTTTGAAGGCTTAAATCTTGACAGACAAGACTGGACAGCCGAAGAGACGCATCGCGAAGCTTTCTGACAGGCGCTGTTCAGCCTTGAAAGGAACTGAACTTCCTGAACTGCTTCAACCCTAAACCCTAACTATAGATCCTAAACTCTGAATCACTGAACCCTAAACCCTAAACTCTGACCCCCTAAGTCCCTAAACCCTAAACCCTAAACCCTAAGCCCAAAACAGACTCCCGAACACCGAGCCCGATCGACCCTGAGATCCATGGGAGAGAGCTGGTATTCGACCCCGACAGTCGTAGACTTGAGGGACACAGATGTGACGCTCGGCTGCACGTCCTAAACCCCACAAGGGCTTCGGGCTTTTGGGTTTTTGGGGCTTCGGGTTTTTAGGAGTTAAGGTTAGGGCTAGGGCTTAGAGCTTTAAACTGAACCGCGAGTTACCAAAACCCTAAACCCTACGCAACTGGTTTCCATTGCAGTTCAAGCTCCGCAGCGAGTGCGGGCATCCCTCAAAGGCTTTCTACACCCTAGACCGATAAAGTGATCCCTAAAGTTAGGGTTTAGGGGTTTGGGGTAGCGGTCAGTGTGCCCTTAACTTTAAACATCTTTAAACCATGCTATACTATCCCATACTATACTACACTTTACTATACGATCCTATACTATACTACACGATACTGTACTGTATTATACGATTGAATTCAATGATACAACGCTGTACTATGTTGTTATCATAGTATATTATACTACACTTTTCTATACTATACTGAGTTGTAGTATATGATGCTAGATTTGTGCATACTATTCTGAACTATACAATACATTACGATACTATACTATACTATACTATACTATGCGATACGGTACTATACTATACTATCATACACTATACTGTACTACACTATACTGTACTACACTATACGGTACTATGATCTCATATACCATACTGATATTAGGGCCTGGCCGATCACGGCCTCCACGCCACAATTTGAGCGTGATTTCCTTATCACTGCACTCAAACAGGGTAGGTTTTTGGGGCTGTTAGCATAATTTCCTTATCCAAGTCCTCAAAACGGTAGGGTTTTTGGGAGTTTAGGTAGGGTTTCATAGAGGGGTTAGGTCATACTACCGACCGTAGTAGTAGTAGTAGTAGTAGTAGTAGTAGTAGTAGTAGTAGCAGTAGTAGTCGAAGTAATACTGTCGATGATATAAACCCTACATGACCTTAAGGACCCTAAACTATGCGAATTATGGTATATTCCTTCTTACGGGTAATGCAGGATTTTCACCATCAACCGTAGTGCTTCGCTTGTTGTGTCGTTTCACACGGGCCAGACGATAGCGATGGGGGCATGCCGTCTCCCTAGAGCAGGTTATGCTGACTTGATCCGCGATCTCCTAATCCCTAAACCCACAGCCCCGACCCTAAACCCTAAACCCTAAACCCTAAACCCTAAACCCTAAACCCTAAATCCTAAACCCCTAAACCCCCCAGGACTGGCATACCGATCTTGCACGGCGAGGCTCGGTGACTTCATATAGTCGGTGGTGTCGTGGCTTGTGTTCAATTACATCGGTTTGTCCTCAGGGTGCTTAGAGTTAGGGATTTGGGCTTCAGGTTTTGTGGTTTGCATACTGCTGCATGGCTCCACGGATTGAGCTAAGGTTGCTCCAGGGGTGTTACTACAAATTGTGGTTGTTTGCCTCGGGTCGGCATGTGGCTTCGTTTTCCAGGCGGCTTTGAGTCGTTTCTTTTCAAGACTGTACGGTTTATTTCGGGTGCAAGGCGAAAGTTTTAGGGGGTGAGCTCTGAACAACAGGCCGCAAAACATAGACTTTAGGGTTCAGGGTTTCAGGTACTACTGCCTGAAGCGTGCGAAGTGGAATTGGTATCTGTTTGGAGTAGTCAGTCGGCTTACAGAAGTCGAAATCGGAGCCTGAAATCACTATAGTCAGTCTTACCGTACAGCTGAATTTCCCCTGTCCTCCATGTGCGGGACAGGACAGTCTGGAGTGACGTTTCAAGCCCAAAACCCAAACTCTAATCCCGAAAACACCCTGTGGGTCCATGTACCCAAATAGTATATACTTAGGCCTTAAAGTAGTCACTATATAGGTACTACTTTGGGGCCAATGTGTATACTATATGGGCACATGGAGCCTTAGGGACAATTCACCCGAAATCTCTGGTTTGCAATCGCACTCATCATGCAAGGCTGCTGGGCTTCCGGGCGAGTTTGAGCCCTAAACCAAAAGCCCCGAACCTTTAGGCTCTAGACTTACACCAAGGCTTTAGTTTAGGGTTCCATGCCTTTCCTTTTGAATATTACAGCTGATGATCTAAATCATGCATTATGCATATTACAGAATATACCATAATTACCAGAGTTTAAAGTCCTTAAGTTAATGCAGGGTCTATATCATGGACAGATTGTTACAGTATGATAATTATGTTATTATTGTATACCACCCCAAACCCTTTTCCAGCTGTATTAAGCGTCTAGGGTTGCGAGGCTGTCCGCCTGGTGACCGACAGGAACTGCCACTCTGCTTTGACGTCCTTAGGGCTGTTTAGGGTCAACCGGTGAGGACTTTATCAAGGTTCCTCTCAAGTCTTTGGGTAGGGTGTAGGACTTAGGATGGTTTAGGGTCGAAGCTTTACTTCAGGATTTTATATAGGCTCCTTGGAGGTTTTAACGTTTTAGGACTTCCAGGGTTGAAGGTTTAGGGTCTCTAGGGTCGGCAACATCAAATTGTTGGCGGCAGATTTTACAGTTAGTGCCTGTGCAGTCTGAATCAAGCTTTCCCGAAATTGAAAGTGCTCCCAACCACTTTACAAATCCTCCCAGGGATCTGGGCAGCGGTACTTGGTGCCCTTGGCCCCCGTGTCAGTGATGGCAAGTACCACAAAACCCTAAACCCTAAACCAGCAGATATCCGGAATCCATAGTATAGCGGTCGGAATACTGACTAATTAACTAGTGTAGAGTTTAGGCCCTTGTGTAATCCTAAACTCACCTAATACCACTGCCCAATATGCCTCGAAACCCAGGAGGCCCTAAGGCAAATTCCGATAGCTTCAATAGCAAACACTTTGCCGCACAAGTCCTGGAGCTTTGTCCTCCTTATTCCTGCTGTTGTATGCAGTTTTAACTGTTGTCTAAGCCATAAGCCCTAAACTACTAGAAGTCTGCAAAGGCAGGGTCTTTGCATCGGTTGCCTTGAGCGGCGCTGCCTTGAGTTTCAGGATAATCTAGGAGCCCAATAGTTACTATTTGGGGTTAAGGTTTAGGGTTATTACTAAATTACGGTTTTGGGTTTTAGGTTTAAGGTTTACTGTTTAGGGTTCAGGATTAATACATACCAAGGCTATTCCTTAGGCTTCCACATGAGAACGATAGTACAATATACCCCCCCCCCCCATTTTCTTGAAATCACGCTCAAAAGAAGCCGCTTGAGAACCCTTTACAAGGAGCCCTAAACCCTAAATCGGTAACCCTGAACCCTAAGGTTCTGACCAGGAGCTTTTTCGGGCTTTGTCGGGAGTCGGATTTGGCGTAAGTTTAGTTTCGGGCTTAGTTTTAGGATCGATCGTCGAGGTGGTTTAGATTTAGGGTCTGGGGTTCAGGGTTTTGGGTATCATCATCCTAAATTCTGGACCCGCAATTCCTGATCCCTAAACCCAAATCCCTCAACCAAACCCTAAACCCGAAATCCTGAACCCTAAGCCTTACATGCAAGGGTTTAGGACTCGGAAGTTCAGTCCGGGTGTTTCGAGCTCTTGGTGGCTTTAATGCCTTCAGGGTTCCTCTGATGAGCATCATGAAATATGCCCCGAAAGCCTAGTCTTAGTTATAAAGGTGCCTACACTAAGACCCATGTGGGTAGTTGTCAAAATTAGGGTCCCTTTTTGGTTACCCGAAATAATAAGTGCCGAATTATACTAAGGACCCCAAAAGGGACCATCATTTTGACAACCACCCATGTACTAACTTACAGTGCCTCCACCCCTTAAGGGGGAACCCTCTAAAGGGTATTGAAACTAACTCATACAGTCTACTACCTCCCTCTGTCAAACCCGAAGTGCGCGCTATAGGGCCATCGCCACGCGGCTCTTTGGGACTTGTTTAGTTTGTGGCGTTTTCTGGTAGTGGTGTATTTTTTTGTTAGGGAACTCCAACTTTTTTGCTTACCTTTCAGGGGGATGGGGATAAATCCTAGACCCTAAACCCTAAACCCTAAACCCACCCCAGTCAAAGATCAAGGAGCAATGGCCCGGACGGACAGGGAAGGGCAGCGGGGACAAACAGGAACCAGAAGTTTGAGCACATCAGCTTGAGCCGTAGCCATTTTGGCTCAAGCTGATGTGCTCAAACTTCTGGTTCCTGTTTGTCCCCGCTGCCCTTCCCTGTCCGTCCGGGCCATTGCTCCTTGATCTTTGACTGGGGTGTCTTTTACACGATCCTGCGCTCTCTGAGCTACCTGCTTCTCCGGGAGGACGTCGCTGGGCATTACCGACTTCCTCTTTGGCTACCAGGTTCTGCTGGGCGACTTCGTGGTGATTCTCTAAGTGTGCGAGTGGGGGACGATCGGCATTGGCACGCGGCTCTTTCCTTGCTGGTTTTGATACTTGTGGGGTGCCAAAAGGGGGTGAATCTACTTCGTCTTCTACTTCTTCGTCCTTTTCACCTTTGAGGCCCTGCTCGTCTTTGCTCTTCTTTTTCTTTGCCCTTTTGGGGTGACCTTCTTCGGCGTCTTTGAGATCTTCAATGGCGGATGATGACCCGACTCAATTGGAGCACTCTGGTATGGCAGTCGACATTGGCTCCCCTACTGAGATTGCCGACGATGAGGATGAGCGGATCGACATCGGCCCTGACCCGTTCCTCGCTGACGCTACCAAGTGCAAAGTGGAAGTGAAGCAGGAGAAGAGAAAGCGCGAAGGTCCCCCACCAGGTGATGGTCGCCTTCGTGCCGTGCCGGATAGTGATGACGAGGACCCTCTTGGCAGCCCTTCAAAAAGGCCCAGCAAGTCCGAGGATGTTCCTATCACTGCTAGAGAACTTCGTGCTATGCTCTCCAGTCACGTCTGCGACATGAGGCATGCTTGGGGATCATTTCAGGGACGTCTTGAGAAAGTCGAAGCAGCACAGTCGAGTTCTTCCAATGCGATCCATGACTTGCAAGCTCGCACCACAGTTGCGGAAAAAGACATCATCCATCAACGACAAGTTGCTCAGGAGACTTCCACTTCGCTTGAGAATCTCGCTTCTGAAGTCAAGAACATGAAGGTTAGAATCGACGAGCTGCAGACCCCTGGGACGAACGTGCCCGCACCTGCTCATGCTCCTGGAGCCGGCCCTGCTGACCCCTGGGCTGAATTCCTTGCGCGTAAGAAAGATGGCAACAAGCGTAACCTTGCTGCCCCGGGGGTGAACTCTGGAATTGCTCCTCCTACTGAACCTGACCGGGGTGACTTTCTTTCTGATGAAGACCGCCGTACACTCGTTGTTGGGGGGTGGCTCCAAGATACCAAGCGAAGCATCATTGAGGAGGAGGCGGCCACCGTCTTGCAAATGCAGGAGATGAAACAGCTCATTGACGTTGAGCGACTGGCAGTTTATGGGCCCCGCAGATCCGTCGGAATGCTAAAGTTCACTCTTTGTGAGGGTGAACGTGAGGGTGATCTTAGGAACCGCATGTGGCAGGTTGTCAAGACTCTCGCTCAGGTCAAACATGTTCTTCCTTCGACCCAAGCCAACGGGGATGAACGCACTATGTGGGCAAGCTTTGTGAAAAGCCGGAATGCGCGGCTTCGCAGCAGCCATGTCAGCATGATCCGAAGGGTCGCCATCCACCTTGCGAAGGAGGCACAGAATGCCCAGGCGGGAGGAGTTGCAGGGATCGTGAACGATCAAATCTCCATGTACGATTGTGACTGGAATACAGGCACCATTTGGTGCGGGCCGTTGAAGTTGGGAAGCGCCTCTCACCGTGCTCCTCGCGAAGATGAAACGGTTGTCATGACAGGTGGATGGGTGAATATTACGGCAATTGCACGCACCGCTGGATGTTCCACAGCAGAGGCCAAGCGGGCCTTCGAGCTGGAGCTTTGACGGTCCAAGCACCACAGTTTCACACCAAGCTCTGCTCCCCAAGATCGGCCTGCTCTCTTAGAGAATGGTGTTGATCGTCCCACTGGGTGTGTAAAACATCGGTGGGGAAGGGCTGGACAATGGAATTTAGCCGGACAATGCCCTAAAACTCTGGATATTGTTGCATGCGATTTGGACATTCTTTCTGTACAGGAGCTTCCTCGGGGTGATGTTGGATGGGGCGAGATGGACACGGAGGAGTTTCACTGGATACATCACCGCGATGCTCGGCAATGGAGAGGCACAGGCATCGGCATTGCCATTGACAAGTTTGACTCGGTCGTGCATAAAGTCTTCACTGAGCGAGGAATCTGGGTCGTCACTCGCCTCCATGGCCTCGGAAGGGTGATCTTGGGGTCGTTACACTGCCACACAGGGGTGACCAACAATGTGTTCCAGTCCGCGGTCCATGAATTCATGAGCAATTGCCCCAGCAAGTATAGGCACCTCCCTCTCCTTTGCGGCGTCGATGTCAACGAAGTTCCTCATTGGCATGAACAGGACACGGGTGGACTTGCTCTTGGGACAGGTAACCTCAACTTCAACGTCGTGGCGGAGGACTTCCTTCACTTGGGGATTCAACCTGTACCACCTGAAGTGCTGTTTAAAAGCGCCCCGACACATTTTCCTCGTGATGCTTCAAGAAGCGGGCGCCAGATTGACATGCTCTTCGCGAGACAGCTTCATCTCCAACCGGTCACCATCGATGCAGATCGTCGCTTTGCCGTTGGCACTGATCATGCTCTTCTTTTTGCCGATATTCTCGTCGCGACGGGCCCCGTGAAAAGACGCTGGCACAATGACTCAAGAGCTCGTTGGGTTGTCAAGAAACTGCCGGAGGAGCCGATCATTGATGAAGATGACCTTGTTAATCTCGCCAGGAAATGTACGAAACCCAGGACCTCCAGCGCATTCCGGGATGACATTGAAACGAAATAAGCCATTCGCACTGCACGTGAGACGAAGCTTGCCGCCAACTGGAAAGCTGCCCACAAACTTCGCAAGCTTGCTAAAAAAACGGTGGAGCGAATCGAGATTGTCGGCTATCCTGGGGGGTGACTGGGAGCAATACCGCCTTCTTCAAAATGAGAAAAAACGCTGCCGAGGCTGGTGGGGCCCATGCTGGAGGACCGCTCTTCGTCTCAGCTTGCTGAAGAAATCTGCAATCATCTCGAGACCAAGATGACCACTGGAAGGGAGGTTGATGTCTGGAACAACCACCTGGACAACATCATCCAGCAAGCCGAGCAGGACAACGACGTCAGCCCCTTCGCCCCCTTCGAGATGCACGAGGTTTGGGAGGAACTCCAACACATGAAATGCAGAAGCGCAGTTGGACCAGATGGGATCGGTGTTCATCTCCTACGTGAACTGGCGTTGCATCCT